TCAAGCAGTTGAGCTATCAACCAGCCCCAAAGGCTGTGAATCTCACCAAAGATTAACCACACATAACAACAACAACAACAACAACAACAACAATTCTAGGACATTCTATCATGGCCTTATTACTACTGTTTTTAATCTGTGTATTCAGTTACAATTTCCTAATTTAGAAAATATTTTCAGAAACTACTTGTAAAAGCAGGTGGCATGCGGATCCATATCTGAGAGCACGCGAGGTGTTGCCCTATTTCAGCTCCAGCGCACATGCGCATGCTGGCCAGCTGATTTTCAGCCTTCTGGAGGGCTGGGGGAAGCTGTTTTTGCTAGGCTTCAGGAAAGCCTCCAGAGCCTGTGGATGGCAAAAAACGGGCTCAACAGACCTACTGGAACTTTGGAAACAAACTTTGGGTAGGCTCGTTGGGCCATTTTTCACCCTCCCCAGGCTTCGGGAAAGCTCGGGGATTGAGTGTACATGCAAAGGGTGAGGGCATTGCATTATAGATGTGGGCACACACATGCATGCTATCAGGTGCGTACATGCCCTTTTGGCACCCGAGCAAAAAAAAAGGTTTGCCATCACTGCCATAGACTAATATTGTATTGCCTAACTGCATTATTGTGCTGCCTACCTCCAATAAAAACACACCCTTAACATGAAGGCATTGCACAAGTTGAAGAGGTTTTAACCCTTATCCTCTCCTTGTGATAACCCCTCCCTACCACAATACACAAGTTATTAAAAATGGAAAATGGTTTCTTTATGCTAGTATGTGAGTTTGAAGTCTCCTGTCATGGTTAAAATAATATATTGTTATGTTATTGCTTATTTTAACATTGGGAACTAAATGATTTTAAAATTTTAGTTAAGATCCTTATAGTTTAACAGTCCTTGACTTATGACCACAATTGAGAACAAATCTTCTTGCCATATTTGTTAAGTGAATCACCACAATTGTTATATTAATAATTCAGTTTGTTAAGTGAATCTGGTGTCCCCATTGATTCTGCTTGTCAGAAGGTTGCAAAAGAGGATCATATGACCCCAGGACACTACATCTGTCATAAATATGAACCAGTTGTCAAGCATCCATATGTAAATCACATGATGGGGATGAACTTTTGTAAGTCGAGGACTATCTGTATTAAATTATTTCAGATGGTATGACTCAGGGGTGAAATCCAGCAGGTTCTGACAGGTTCTGGAGAACCGATAAAATTTTGAGTAGTTCGGAAAATTGGCAAATGTCACCTCTGGCTGGACCTAGAGTAGGGTGGGAATGGAGATTTTGCAGTATCTTCCCTGCCATGTCCACCAAACTGCACCAGACCCACCAAGCCACGCCCACAGAACCGGTAGTAAAAAAACCTGAATGTCATCATGTAACGTGATGTAACATTTATGTGTGCAACACTAGCAAAAAGTGAACTTGGCCCATTTAGCAAAGTGATGTTTGGCAAATTTAGCAAAACTGTTCTGGTTGGACTAATCACTGTTAAAATTCATACTCTTATTTTGATACTGACTGCTGTAAACCCTGCTAGCCCATTAAAAAAAATCTGTATGGGCATTTCTAGATTAATGTCAGCACTTCCAAGAAAACATGACCAGATACATTAATTCTACTTATTATAAGTCTACATTAGCAGAACTTTGCAAGTCGGAAGCTACAAATTTTCTCACAAATTTTAACTAGGAGAGATCATTCCAAGTTTCTTTTTCTGACCATTATGCAACTGCAGGCTCCTCCCTCTTGTGTCTGATCATTTCCTAGGCAGCATATCTTCCATTTCCACATCCCTCCGGATCATTTCCACATACCATTATACCTAGTATTTATACTTGCAACAAAATAATAGAAAACCAGTCTGATAAAGAAGGCTAAGAAAAAAAATCTGTTAACAAGGATCATAACTAAGAGATATCAGGCCAAATTAATTATATAAAATTGGGAAAGATTTCAAAGCATTTATGATAAGAATCTGCAACAAATAGGAAGAAGCAGAAACAAAATGAAAGAATGAGCACATTTTATGAAATATGTTGATACATTTTTTGTAATCTGCTTCTTAATATTGACCCAAGAATTTGAAAAGTATAAATGGTGTCATATTTTCTGTGCTGATGGTTCCATATTGACATGAAGAGTATATGAGCCATGCTGAACCAGACCCAATACCTAGTGAAGTCAACTAATTATCCCTACAAGGCCAATCAGAAGGCTCGAAGAATAGAACATGAGCCTATTAGCATTTTTGCTCATATTTTTCAGCAACAAGTACTGAGAATAATAAATAGTTTTATCAATTATTCTTATCATTCAATTGCAGAAAGACAAGTACAGGTAGTACTCAACCTATGACCACAATTGAACACAAAATTTATGTTATGAGACATTTGTTAAGTAATTTTGTCCCACTTTATGACCTTTCTTCTCACAGTTGCTAAGGAAATCACTGCAATTGTTAAGTCAGTCACATAATTATTAAGTGAATCTGAATTCCCCATTGATTTTACTTGTCAGAAGGTTGCAGAAGAGGATTACATGACACCAGAACCATCATAAAGGCAAACAAGTTGCCAAGCAACTGAATTTTGATTATGTGACCACGGGGATACTGCAATGGTCGTGTAAAAAATGGTTATAAGTCACTTTTTTCAATGCCATTGTAACTTTGAACGGTCATTAAATAAACTGATGTTAAGTTAAGGACTACTTCTATAGACTTTGTCTTTCCATTTGGTATGATTTGGTATGAAGCTGTCATATATATTTCATTGTAAATATCTGAATAGAGTGCAAGTGCAAGTGCAATGCTCAAAATAGGTAAAATAATGCAGAATAACATAATTATTTAATTAATCATGAAGGCAATCTATATCTGTAATCCTGGCCTCTTGGATAAACAGGCAGGATAAAAAAGTTGTATACAAGTAGATAAATCCAAAGCATCTTATAATCAATTGTAGCATTCATATGTATAAATCATTCTCAATTGAAGAAGGGGAAAAAATAGAAAAGAGCATCAACAGCATTGATAGACATCATTATAAAGATCAAAGATGGGATGCTCAAAGCAATATAAAATAAAAGTTGTCTGAATTCAGAATAGTTGCAGTAGAAAAATACTGATTATTATTTTTTTGCTTCACAAAATTTTCATTATTGTGGCATGAAAAATGACAACGTGAGCTAATCTGTCTACATTTTTTTACACTATAACTATTATCAAAGATCATTTGAAACAAAACATGAGGAAGTTTTAAATTATAGCTATTTCTGCCATACAGCATGTTATGTTTAGGGATCAGACTGAGGCATCTAGAAAGCCAAGATGTTTTAATGCCAAGTTATATTAGTTCTATTTCAAACTAACCTAAAATAATTTAAAATTAGATCAGTATTTGATATAAATTTATTACAGCAAATTGTATTTTATGTTTTTTGAAATTCTGTTGTTAATTTTTACTGCATGTTTATATTGCTCACAAGTTAATGCTGTAGTGATACAATTCATATTCTTATTTATAAAGATATTATTTTTACCCTTCTGCTTTAACATACACTTCATTAATATTTATGTATACTGAAATAAAATCATTGTTAAAAACAAAAAACTCAGCGTTAAAAGAAAAACAAAAATAGTCAAACAACATACTGTGGATGTTTCATTATTGCTGTTGATGTGATTTTGTAATTGGAATGTCTTATTTACTTCAGGCATTCTAGACTATTGTGGTAATTATTAGCTTTAGTCTTTCTACATTGCCCACAGTTTCTAAGATGGGTGGTTGTAATAATTATTTAAATCAATAAATGATATAATTTAATGCAGAACATATATCCTACCTAAAAAAAAAATCTTTTCTGTAAGATGCAATTCAAACCATTTTCATACCAATTTAGGATCTTTTTTTACTCTCCTCTAGTTGCTATATCGCTCTTAAATTTATTTTTTTTAATTATTTAGTTTTGGACAATTTTAAAGCAAAACATTAGGTGTACATGTGCATGTATGTGTGTAAGATTTCCAATTTATACTAACTTGAAGTACATATATTTATTCCAAGAATTTTCTCTATGTAATTTACATAAAATACATAAAGGCTATTTTTCAAATTAATTGGCCTGAAATATAACTAACAATGGTTATCAATTGGTTCCATCTTCATGTTACTACATATCATACATGGTTTGAGTCCCCTAAAAGTAAAACTAAACCTAAAACGTACAGAATATAAAGACAATGTGCCCAAAACTTGCACATCTTCATTTAAAATAAAAGGGAAAAATAATGGAAAATAAGGTTAATTGCATTTCATTAAGGTTCTTTAAAAGAAGATAGTCAGAGGAGAGAAATTAAAAGGGAAAAGTTTTTTTTTTAACAATTCAGAATAAAGATAAATTATTTTTCTGTTTTTGAATTATTTCTATTTTTAAATAAGGGGTTAAATAATGCCCTTAATTCATATATTTTGAAATGTATTCTCTGTATATTATTATAGTATATATTAATTATATTGACACAATAATCCTCAGTATGTATTCACAATATTAAAACTAAGTATGCTGGTTTGAAAAAAATGTCAAGCTATTCACATTCTCAGTCTGACTATTCCAACAGCAAGAAAATTGAGAGGTAACCTTTATTTTTTTAAAAGTGGCTGTTGTTCTTTCCTTTCCCTCTCCAAAGTCCTAGAAGAAAAAGCAGAACTCTCATTTATTTTCATAACCTCTGATTTATAAACAAAGGTTGCCCATTATTTATTACTGGATGATATCTCTAAAATTTAATGAGTACTAACTACAAATATGATAGATGTAATACTGCACAGTCAGAGTTTCCTTGTGCTGTAATTGCAAGCTTTTTATTCAGTTGCTGGCAGCAAAGTTATTACCACAGTATTTTATGATATTTCAGAAAACATGAAAAGTTTCCAGCTTAATTTTATGCCAAAGAATTTTTAAGCAGCTTTTTCTATCCAGTTTCACATTAGAATGTTTAAAGAATCAAGCTACGTGATTAGATAGTTTTGCAGAGTTTAAACATGGAAAGTTTCATGTTTTCTGAGAATGTATGTACATGTGTATAAACTAAGAGGGAGTTGGTAAGTGGTTCCCGTAAAGAGACATACGGCCAGGTAGCCAAGTCATTCTCTAGTGTAAAAAAGCCCTTCCCCCCTTCTATTTCCCACATATAACCTTACTTATTTAGATTCAAGCCAAGGTTGAGTGATCCCCAGTTGGAAGCTGGACCACAGACCCTAAAGCTGGAAAATATACAATTATAAGCATACCCATGAAATCTTCTTTTCCAAAGCTTGGATATAATTGCATCAAAAAAATGCAAGTAATAAGAGATTGCTTCTGTGACTCATGCATTTTGAGGCAAAATGAAGCCAAATTTTATTTAGAATTTAGTTTGTTTCATATAATAATGGCTACAAAAAGTGGCTGAGATGCAAGGGAAAAGCTGAAATCATTTCCAGCAATGATGCATAAACTCTACAAAAACTTCACATTTTTATTGTTGAGGCAGTTCACTTCAAGCAGGGCTTTTCATGTAATAATTTTTATATCTGAATAAATATACAGCTATTATTCTGCTGATAGAGATTAGATATTGGATAATAAATGTTTATGTGTCCAGAGCAATTGGTAGTACATAGTAACTTTACTTTATCTGATCACAAAAAGTCTAGTTGTATGCTAAGTAGAAATAAAAGCAAACCAAAACCCAGAAAAATCTCATAATTCAAATTATGTTTGCATTATTTCCAAGGAAATAATTGTAATAACTTCTTATAATCACCATGAGCAGGGATGGGTTTCAAAAAAAATGACTACCTATTTTGTGGCTGTGGCCTATTATGTGGGTGTGGCTTGGCGGTCATGTGGCTGGGTGGGCATGGCCAACTTGTAAAATGTAGTGAAGCTCACTTAACAATGCTCCCGCTTAGCAACCAAAAATTTGGGCTCAATTGTAGTCATAAGTCAAGAACTATCTCTGCCTTCCTCTGCATGGCAGCCTTGTCCCAGTAAACTCTTTCTCCTTTCTGGCAATTTCCCCCTCCATTAGAGGCACCAAAATAATCCAGACAATGTAAGGTTTCCTGCTGCAGCATGGGGTTGGACTAGATGAACTCCAAATAGACTTCTAGCCCTAAATTGCATTTGTTTGTTTGTTTATTTGTTTCTCTCTCTCCCTCCCTCCCTCTTCCTTTCTTCCCTCTGTGGGAAGCAACACCCCCCCCCCACCTCAATAAAATATTACTGATAAGAAAAGGCTCTGAGAAAAGGAAAAATCAAGCTGCTAACAAAGAAACCTGCCTGAGGCTCACTCCACATTCCTGCCAGATAAAGATAATGAGATAATGAGCCTATAGAAGGTTTGACTCCATTCACACAAGCAGGGAATCATCCAAACACAAAGCCCATATTGCACAAACCCGAAACTTTGTCCAGTCCACCAGATTTTCACTACCTTTTCTGGTATACTGTATCGTACCGGGAGGAACCCACCTCTGACCAGGAGTCAGTTTCAACTCAAGGAACAGTACCTTTTTAAAGTTGATCTATGATGTGTTCCTAATAATGTTCTGTTAATTGACAAAAATCAGTTATGGGAAAAATCAAGTTGTCCCAAATTATTGAAGAGAAATGGTTAAGTATGTGCTCCTCATTGAAAGCACTTCATTTATCTAAATTTATACACGGCAACATTGTTAGAAGAATGCACATTTCAACTATGGTGGCTCTGAAAAAAAATTGCAACTAAATAACAAATTTATAGCCAAAATCACAGAAAGATAATGAAATTGTATGAAATATGCATGAACTCCAAAATTTAACTTGGACCTTAGATGGCAATGTGAAAACAGCCAAATTCACTTCAAATAAATATGGAGACTATCTGATATAATTTTCAGCTAAGACCAAGTTAATTTCAAATAAGAAGGTGGAAGGGTATTCATGATAGGCACATTAAATCAATTTTGTTTTTTAAAATCTAGAGTTCAACAATAAAGCATATTTGCCCTTTCTGAAAGGGACTTGCCAAAGTACATAAACAGATTTAAGAATTTTGTATAACTGTAGCTTTTAGGACTAAATTTAGCAACAGAAACATTTTCTTTAGTAAATATATAATTATTTCAAGATACATTTAGATACCAGAGACAACAACCATGATTTTCATCAAAACAAAATTTATACTTTTATTATACTTAATTAACTGTATCATAATTAACCTTATCTCACTGTTCATAAGAAGTTTCTTTTATACTTACAATTGGACTTGCGTTGATGTAGTCTGAATTGTCATGACTATTTTCAGCTTTCAAACATATCCTGCAATGATCATCTTGCCCCCACCCCCAAAAAACATAGTTATTTATGCCTTGTTTATATGAATAGAATAAAATATGCATGTTAAAATAGCTATTTCAAAGATTGAACTCAAATAGAAAAATATTTTTAGCTGGAAGGGAGAAATAGTGTATGCTTGAGCTGCAGCACACTTGCTTTTAAACATAGAGTCCTCTGTGATTATTTTAGATAAAACCCGAAACAAAACATTCCTGTTGCTGTTAAAACAAAAACAGAAATAAAAACACCATATTGGAGTATGATATCAACCCATCTGCTTTATAGAGCTACTTATTTCCTTCCTTCTCTTATTTGTTAAACTGAGATCCCTCTTTTTCTCTAGGGCAGAGGTAAGTGAGGATTCCTTTCATGTTATTACTGCAACAATGTTGCATGACATTATGAGATATGTTGGGAAGAAAGAAAACAGGCCCCAAATCAGCTGACTTAAAACCAGGTCTCCTCCATCCTAATTCAAAACTTTAAAAACTAAACCATTAATATATTGTAATGAAATCTATAAATGACCTTGAGGAACAAGGGGAAGAGATGCTACCTAGAAAATAATTAGAGAATAGAGGCTTCAGTTGTTTAAAGTCAAAAAAAGAAACTTAAAAAAGGATCCACCCCAGTGGCAGATGGAAGTTGATATTTGCAGACTTACAAGTTTGATAATGTAGCCTTATAATAAAGTGGAATAAATTCAGGTAGTTCTGTTTCCTGTCTGGTTTACCTGGGAGGACTGACATCAATCTTGTAAGTCTAAAAGTACAAATGTGATCCATTAGTGTGAGTCCTTCCTAGGTTTTTTTCTCCGCCTATTTAACCACTGGGGCCTCCTGCATCTCTTATCTGATTACTTCCCAGGCAGCAACTCTTTCCCTTGTTCATCAAGAGTCATCGGCACATTTCATTATAGATATTTTATATTCCCATTCTCTAACCACTGAACAACTGGTTAGAGAAAAATAAGAATAGTATGATGTTGTTGATCTATATGTTAGTACTGCTCATTGGATGGAGCTATCGGATAGCATAACTATAATGCAAAAACAAGAAACAGACCATTTTAGTAAATGCTTCATATAAACTTATGCTAAAAATGTAAGATCTCTTTCCCCAAGCATTAACATCACATATCTGACTCATGTTGCTAACTAATCACAAAAACAATTTTCATTAGTTATGCTATACATCATAAACATATGGGGAGCCAAATCCTAATGTAACTATTATTTATGTATAATAAAACATCTCTTTTCATCAAAAGGGTAACAAATTCACTAAAAACCAAGTATTTTATTTACTGATCAAAGTTTCAAATTCAAAATGTATTAATTGATTGAAGAAGTGTTTATTTATTCTAAATGAGTAAGAGAAGCAGTTTGTAATTGCAAACTGAATTAGAATGTTTATCCTGATAAGATGAAAGTCTGTTGAAAAGCTGATGAATTATCAACATAACCTCTATTGTATTCAACCAATAGAATGAATGCCAAAACTGTGTAAAATATTACTTGCAAAACAAAAATGCAAAACAAAATGTATTGTGCAAGTTGCACCAGCGTAAAAGATGTGATGCCCAGAGCAATGTACTAATATATTTCTTTACCTGTCCCACAAAGATGACAAAAACATTCAATATTAGATAAAGAGTGAAGCAGTACCATAAATAAATCACTTAGTTTAAACTATACATACATGCTACTATAACTTGAGAGCGGTTTTTCTGGATATTTTCTTCCTTATGGGCATTGGTAGTTGCATTAGGCTCAGCTTGATATGCACAAAGTGCTTCCCATTCTTTTTCTAGACGATTCTTGTTTTTCAAATGGTCCTCCATGTAGGCCTGAAATTAAGAAGTCTAATCAGAAGTAGCAGGCTTAACGTATTCAACACTTGCTATTTCAGCCAAGATATTAATGAACTGTAAAGTACAATGCCAAATTGGCCTAGTGGTTATGGTGCTGGTCTGAAAACCAGGAGACTATAAGCTCTAGTTCTGCCTTATGCATAAAAACTCGCTATGTGACTGGGCTAGTCACTCTCTCTCAGCCAACAATTAAGGCTCCGGAGACAAGTCAGTCAGTTTTTGTTGAAGCCAATGGCTAAACGAAGCTGATCTGAAAAAAACAGATCCTGTCCTTGTTGGGAAATGCTAGAAAGAAAAAAAAGTGAATGAACTGAAAAGTATTAAGGCACCTTGACATGAATGCAGAGAAGTACTAGATTAGTTGCAACTGCTATTTGCTGAATTGAGCAAGATAGAATCATGATGAATGAATGAATGAATGGTTTTTCACTGATCAGATACTTAACAGACTTGAGTTTCTTGAAATGCAGCCTATATGGCAAAGTGACCTGCAAAGAAGTGTCAAAATGAACTTGTGATATTGTGCTAGAAGGCACTTGTAAATTGTGTTTGCTTGCAACAATTATAATTTCTCTGACATTCAAATTCAAAGCAAAAAAAGGATATTTCTATGAATGGTAAGATCATCATAAGAAATTCATTTTCTAAGTTAGGATCAGTCAAATCTAAATAATTATTGCTAAAACATTAGTGTGAGTATTTAAATTTCATTTATATACTGTATATTGTATAAAGAAAGATTAAGATGAAACTAAGATATTTCAAATTAGCAATAAATATAGTCATTTTGGACATAATGAGATATATCACTGCACCTGTCATAGCACATAAATACACCAGTGAACTTCAGAGACAAAAAATTTATCCAACAAGTAAGGTGTATGAAAGGGAAAGGGAAGAGAATTTTGCAGAAGGAAGGAAGGAAGGAAAAATGAGGAATAAAAATAAAAAATGCAGAAGAACTAATCAAAACATTGATAAAAGAGCAAAGAAAAATGAAGACGAAAAAGGAAAACAGAGGAAAATAACAGAAATCAAAGGAAAGAGCTAGAATGATTACATAAATTCATAAATAAAGAGATGCAGAACTTAGGGAGGGAAAAGAACTGTTTCTTTTTAAATCTCTCCATTGCTCCAACTCCCAATCTACTCACTAGTTGTTCCTACTGTTTTTTCAAATCCTGCAACCCCTCTTCTTCATAATTCAAACTTCTTCCTGGTACTTCTTTTTTTATTGTTTCAGCTTACCTATTATTCTGTCTATAGTTATTCTGTTTCAGCTTATTTATTACCATCTTTCATTTACTCTATTTCCTTCAGCTCTATCATCTTCACCACATCATGCCATTATACTCAGAGGGTATTCAAGGTCATTATCAATCCTAAAGTCTGTGCGTGAGTCCTACATGTGTTTGTACAGTTAGAAGGAAAGGCTCTAAGTGAAAGACTCACCAGAATAGCAGATAAGGAATTTATTGGTTTAATTTATACAGCTGTCCATCTCAAACAAATGACTCAATTTAGCTTGGACTTCCTGGTCACTACAATCACATTGCATAATATTATCATGTTATCTTGGGCTATTGGCTCTGTCTTCATCTCAGAGTGAAGGCCCGCTGCCATTGGGGTGAAGGTGCCTCAGGCACAACTCTGGCAGTCTCACAGGGCTGCTCACTGATCCCTGCAAAGATATGCAGGTCTGAAATTAAGCCCCAAAGCTCTGCATACCTTGCAGGCAAAAGGGAGCTCTGAGGAGAAATCTGCTTTGCAATTCCCTCTAGAGACAGGCCCAGCGAATACAGCCTACTGGAATGGCTTGGCTTGCTTCACACATCTGACAGTTGGATCTTATTACTGTCAGCTCAAGCGCACCACTTTACCAGGGCCTTTTGCCCCCTGCGCTCATCTTTTTTGGTTGTTTCCAGCCTTCCCGATATTCATAGAGCTGTGCTTTGCCCCTGCCTCTGGGAAGAGATTTCTGTTAGGGGCTGCAGGAGTAACCTGCAATTCCAATGCCTCTTTTACCACTGAAANTTCCAATGCCTCTTTTACCACTGAAAGAAGCCCAGTGACTCTATTGTTGAATGGGAGTCAGCCGGATAACACGCACAGAAAAGTCAGAAAATTTTTTCCTATTCAAAAAGATCCAGGAATGTAAGAAATTTTAACATGTCTGTCCTCCCTGAGGGACTGAGTCAAAAGCTGGGGAGACAGAGGCATGTCCTCACAGCTCTGACAGTCTCAGTCCAATCAGCTAAGTAGATGAGGTCAGTCCATTCCTGGGTACTATCTCCACCACAATGGAGAATAAATAAACCCAATGTGTTTCTTTAAAGTGCAATAAAAAGCAGAATCATGGAGTGATAGCCCCTGCCCCCACCTTGCTCAAGTAGGAGAACCTACACTAGTTAAGACGAATGGCTGTCCAATCTCTTCTTGAAAACATCCATGTTGGAGCACCCACAACTTATGAAGGCAAGTCATTGCTAACAATGAGAACAAGTAATTGTTCTCATTGTCAGGAAATTTCTCTTTTGTTCTAGGTTGCATCTCTCTTTGATTAGTTTCTATCCAATGTTTTCCCTTCTTTGGAAAATAGGTTGACCCTCTCTTTTTTGGGGGGGGGGGCAGTCCCTCAAATATTAGAACACTGCCATCATGTCACCATTACTCCCTCTTTTCATTAAACTAGACATACCCAATTCCTGCAACCATTCTTCATATATTTTAGCCTCCAGCCCCCTAATAATCTTTGTTGCTCTTCTCTGCACTCTTTCTAGGGTCTCAACATTTTTTTATATTTATATTTTTATATTTATATTGTGACGACCAAAACTTGCTGCAATACTTCAAATGTGGTCTTACTAAGGCATTATAAAATGGTACTAATACTTCAAATGATCTTGATTCTGTCTCTAAATTAATGCAGCCTAGGATTGCATTGGCTTTTTTGAAGTTGAAGCCTACTGCTGGCTCATATTTAAATGACTATCCACTGGGATCCCTGTCACAGTTAGTGTTATTGAGTCAGGTTTTACCTATTCTATACCTGTACATTTGGTTTTTCTTGTCTAAGTGTAAAACCTTACTTTTCTCACCACTGAATTTCATTTTGTTACATAAGGCCCAGTGTTCAAGTCTGTCAAAATCTTTCTGGACCTTGAACCTGATTTACTGCAAACCCCCAGAAGCAAGCAAAGTTACAACCAGAAGCCTACATGGGTTTGTTGTTGAGAGTTGGCTATTCCTGCCAGCTTAGTGTGATCTGCAAATTCAATGAATTTTCCTACTATTCCCTCATCTCAACTGTTTATGAAGATTTTGAAGAGTACTGGCCTTAGAACAGAACTTTGGGGTACCCATTGCTTACTTTCCTGCATGTCAATGTAGTTCCATTAAGGACTACATGTTGAGTGTGATTTGTTAGCCAGTTACAAATCCATCTAGTGGTGATGCTGTCTAACCCACATTTTTTCAATTTATTAAGTACATTGTGGTTCACTTTGTCAAATGCCTCGCTGATATACAAGTATACTATGTCCACACCCTTTCACTAGTTCACTAACTTAATTACTTTGTCAAAGAATGAAATGAGATTTGTTAGCATGATGTTTTGAGAAACCCATGTAGGCTCCTGGCAACAGTCATACTATACTGAAATATAATGCGTTTCTTAAAAATTATATTTTATTTCCTGACAGTTAGAACAATTAATCAGTGGAACAACCTGCCTCCAGAAGTTGTGAATGCTCCAACACTGGAAGTTTTTAAGAAGAGATAACTATTTGTCTGAAGTGGTGTAGGGCTTCCTGCCTAATCAGGGGGTTGGACTAGGAGACTTCCATGGTCCCTTCCAACTCTGTTATTCTATTAAAAATGTGCCAAAATGGATCTAAACAGTATAGTTTTTTTTCTTTTTTGTAATAAATATTAAATAAATAAATACAACCAATAACTTATTTATTCTTGAATATTGAGTTACCCAATTAGCTTTCATGGTTCTGAACTAAACATAAATCTTCCTTCTACCCTGCAACATCATGCACACAATAGTGTGCTGGCTCTTATTAATTTTACTCCAAATGTATTTCCATGGGGACAAAATACTATCAGATCACTGTACTGTATGGTTTTGAGCTCATTTATGGACAAGCAAGATAAAAACTGAGGCATCTGTCAAAAAAGAGAATATAATAGAAATGCAGAATCAATGCTAACAAGATATTTTGGATTATAAGATTTGTTTCAATGAAAAGAGGAAAAATGCTGGTTCTGGAATACCATAATAATAGATATATCTTTGGTGTTTCTAAGATATGAAGCATAGGATTATTTTGATGTAAAAGGATTATGCCATTAGACTCACATAAGAGCAAAGACACTTATAAGAAAGCTTTTGGAGATTATGTAACAATACACTGTGAAAACAAAAAGTTACACAAGATAGGCAGCATTTAAAGTACATCTGGTTCTCACTGGTCCAGTAAGCCTCTTACATTGATACAGAATCCAATTTCATTACAAATGAAGACTTCTGAGAACACCTGGATATGACTTTGAAATTCTACATTTGTTTATGTAGCAAGGAGTTTACTTGACAGGCTTAATATATCTCTTGATCTGTGTTTTCAATAGCCAAAATAACAAAACCTGGTAATGCATCTGTAGTATTTCATGATAGTAGAAGCCTCACCTGCTGAAAAAAAGTTGTTTTGGTGCCAAACACATTATTTAAGGCCCGTTCACACAGACAAATCAGCTATCTTCAGAATGATGAACAAAGTTCATACCTATGCCCTTCCTAATTCAGTTTGTCAGTTCATATATTCAGTTCCCTAGTTCAGTACTATCAAAAAGTATATATAAAATCTCTGTATGAACTATGCCCATCTACAAGCTTCAACACCCAAATGTTATGATTGCACAAAGGAACTACTTGGAAACATCCCTACATGGTTTCTCCAAATTGCCAATAA